TTATACGGCGAGTATATAACAAACTCTGTATTTTGAGTGGAAATGTTAGGGGGTCGTCTTATACGCCCAGTCGTCTTATACGCCGGCAAATACGGTAGTAGCATCATCATTTTCCCAGTTATGCAGACTTAAAACTTTAGAGTCATCTTCTTGCTTTCCAAGTTCAGTCAGTGACCCATCCTTCCAGTTCTTCTCAGTTTAATTTGGACCTTACCACTTCTGTAGATAATTATAGGAACGCTCTGATAAGATATCTTGCCTCTTATTTTCATCCCTTTCTAATCCAGGCTACATACTCTTCCAGAATTATCTTTTGTTTTTGTTTTGTTTTAAAGATTTTATTGGGGAATTGGGGGGGGGGAACAGGTTTGGGGAATCGGGGAAGGGGAACAGACAAGTTGCTGTCCTTTTATACTTCAGTCTAGTTGTGGAGGACGTTGCTCCACTGGCCCATGTTGGTATTGTGATCATTGCACTCTTCCCAGCTGAGGCAGATCTGTCACCGGCCATTGGACAGACACTTACGGCAGCTCACTCTGGCTGCCGGCTGCTCATGCAGGCTGCTGGCCGCTCCTGGTAGCTTACGGCAGCCCACTGCAGCCCCACTGCAGCCTAAGGTCGCCTGCCACTTACTGCAGCCCAGCTCCATGTTGAGCTGTTGTTCACCATCTTCGCTGTAGAGGGCAGTGTCACTGGCCCATGTGAGAACCTAACCAGCTGCCCTGCTGCTCAGAGCTCATGCTTCCAAGCCAACTCTTAACCAGCTGAGCCACTCAGCCAGCCCCAGAATTGTCTTTCTTAAATATAATTATCTTCTCTTGTATACTCAAGGCCTTGAGTGGTTTCCTGTTTCCCAGAGAATAAATTTCCTACCCTGAAGCTTAATTTTTCAGATCTTTAATAACATTGCCTTAGCTTAACTTTCTTGCATTACCTCTTACTATACCTCTTTTCATGCCCAATGCTCTAGCATTCTTTTTTTTTTTAAAGATTTTATTGGGGAATTGGGGGAAGGGGAACAGCGTTGGGGAATCAGGGAAGGGGAAGAGAAAGAGACAAGTAGACAAATTGCTGTTTTTATTCTTCAGTCTAGTTGTGGAGGACATCGCTTCACTGGCCCATGTCGGTATGATCATTGTGCTCTTCCCGGGTGAGGCAATCAGTCGCCAGTCATTGGTCAGCTGCTCAGAGCCGCTTCCGGCAACTCACACAGGCTGCCTACTGCCAGCCACTCACGTAGCTCACGGCAGCCCACTGCAACCCCGCTGCAGCCTATGCCATCGCCGATGACTCACAGCAGCCCAGCTCCAGGTTGAGCTGTTGTTCATCATCTTAGCTGTAAAGGGCGAGTGTCACTGGCCCTCAATGTGGGATCTGAACCACAGTCCTGCTGCTCAGAGCTGGCGCTCCCAAGCGAGCTCTTAACCAGCTGAGCCACTCAGTTGGCCCTCTAGCATTCTTAATACTAGTAGTTTTCTTAGTTGGCATGTGTAGTCTGCCTAGATGCCCTGTCCCAATCTTAATGTGTCCAGATGTCTACTTTTTGAATACTGGTTTAAAAGCCATTTCTTTAGAAAGCTTTCCTCACTTTCCTCATCTGGAGATAAGATACTTACAAGTAAAGAAACTATTATCTTTATATCACTATTATGCTTTGTATACAAAGGTGTTCAGTGCCACATTTTAAATAAATTAAGTGGTGATGAGCCAACCAAAACTATAATAGTGTAGCCTTGGGCACAGTCACTCAAAAACTGCATTTCCAAATAATCAGGTTAAAGTAAATACTGAGTGCAGTGATGAAGGGAATGAAAAGACTTCCAAAAGAAATACTGGCAATGAGTTGCATATATGAGAGGATTCATTTTGTAAGAAACCTCAGACATTTTTTAGGATTAGATCTCAGAACCGCCTCTTCTCCCTACTCTACTGCTGGTAGTATTTTCTCTTTATTTTAATGAATCTCTTTTTAATCAAAAAGAGATTATATAAGGATAGTTTATGTGTGAAGGATCTTTTAAGCAAATGTTTTCTTCATATTTTAGAATTGAGATTTGAGCAACACTTCAATATAATCATGTTGTTTATTTACTGAAGTTTGCTTTCCTTTGTCACCAAACACCTTTTGAAGCTATTTGATGTTTCCAATAGTTAGCATGTGCTGTAAAGATGCACATTAATTTTGATTATTCCAAACTATACTTAAAAGAAAATATGGAAAATGATCTCCTGTATGGATTTATTTCTTTAATTTCTGTCATGTTCACACATAGCCAAAACAAGTCATTAGCTTTAGCAAGTTAGCAAAATAATCTATCAGCTTAATTAAAAAAAAAGTTTTTAAATTAAATTTAACAGTAGTTAATTGATTTTCTTTCATAGACCCTAATTATATTTTGCTTTTTATTTTTTCTGCCTATATCAGTCTTCTAACAGATTTATTGAACACCTGTTATGGGCTGAGCACTGTAAACTAATGATAATCAAAACTAGATATGTTGTAGGTTGTATCCCCATGGAACTTACAGTCTAGTAGGAAAGAGAATGATTAAATAAATAATCACAGGGCCGGCCGAGTGGCGCATTGGTTAAAGCTGGCTTGGGATGCCAGAGGGCCCCGGTTCGGATCCCACATATGAGGGCCAGTGACACTGCCCTCTACAGCTAAGATGCTGAACAACAGNGGCGACTGATTTGCCTCGCCCGGGAAGAGCGCAATGATGGTGCCAACTTGGGCCAGTGAAGCAACGTCCTCCACAACTAGACTGAAGAACAAAGAGACGGCAACTTGTCTGTTCCCCTTCCCCCAATTCCCCAGCGCTGTATCCATTCCCCAATTCCCCAATAAAAATCTTAAAAATAAATAAATAAATAAATAAAATAAACATTCAAATATATAGATTAATTTTTTTGGTATTTGTTAAATGGAAGCCTGTGTTATGGTTTGATTTCTTTTATCTTTAATTAGGAATGTAACATTTGGGTATTTGCAATATGCAAGATACTGTGCTAAGCTCTTTACATGTATTTTCCTCATTTCATTTTTGCAGCAATTCTGGAAGAGGTACTACTGTTATCCCCATTTTACGAATAAGGTTAAGTGTCTTGCCCAGGTTCTGTCAGTGGTTTGCATGGCAATGCTATGATTTAGAGATAGGAAGCAAGATTCCAGATTCTGAGCTCTTGTCACTATGTGGTTTATTGTCACACCAGCCAGACCAGGATAGATCCATTACATGAGAGTGGGAGAAAAGAGAGAAATGAAGAATATAGATAGGCATCTCAAGACACAGTTTAAAAATTCTAGATTAAATTTTTTTTCTTTTTGCTGTAAAGTTTAAAATGTCATTTAAATATTAAATGCTTGTCATATCTTTAAAATATATACGTTTGATTACCTTTTTCAAACATTGATTTTTGTATTTCATTGTAATTTTAAAGCCTGTTTTATAAAATGTTGTTGTATAGCTTATAGTGAATATTCTTACCTGCTAGTAAAGTCAAAACTATTACAAAATTTAAAATATGATAAAACTTTTAAAATTACTATAATGTTATCATTTGTACTGTTTTGTTAGACATTTTTAAAAGGCTACAAGGCAAGATAAATTTAGAGGGGAGATATGTACTTCTCTGTAAGGTTACTTAAATCATTCAAATAAATATTTTTATGTATTTTACTTTATAGGGAATACAACATCCAATGTAAGCATAATTGGTCAACGTATGAACTATGGGTTTGGATGTGGTGATTTTGAAGATGATAGGTCACATGACATTTCACCCAGTGTTTTAAAATCACAAAATAAGGAACAGCCAAGACATCATAAGCATACAAAAGGTTAGTAAATTTCATGACAAGTTTAATTTTTGAGATTGACTGTCTCTAAATCAGAATCCTCCCTAAGCATGCCAATTAAGAAACATTAACTGACATTTCTCAGTTTTGAGATTTTCCTTCTTACTCTTCCGCTGATATGTTGTTGCTTAAATAATTTTGCCAAATAGAACACACAGGTTCATATATTGGCTCAGGGCTTGCCTGAGGAGCCAGTGCACGGAAGCGACTGCCCTACAGGTTTAAAACTAGGGAATCCCTCCTGACCTCATCTCCCAGGACACATGCATGCGTACACACACGCACACACTTGTTTTATAAGTCATTTTATCACTAAAATGGGGTGGAGAACTCATGTAATTAGTGACTCCCAGATGCCTACTTAGGTTTTAACTAAGGAGTAAAACTGTGGCAACAGGAATATAATTTCCCTGTGGTAGAACATGGAAAGGCTTCTTTGTTATCACTAACCATTGTTAACAATTTATTTATTTTATAATTTAGTAACTGCAAGTAGCACCTCTGTGACTGTTGTCCATTTTTTTCAGATTTCCTATTATAGCTGTATTTTAAATTTTCCCTTAGAGTAAAGAAGAAGTTATTTTGAAGGGTATAAATATTTATATAGAATAATTAGAAGTTATCTGTAGTTAATCATTATCATCCAGCAAGTGTAAGGAGCTGTCATTTTTTGTGTATAGCAACTGTGGTTGTAATAAGGTCAAATTTTGTTATTTCTGATCATCTTAACTCATATGCGTAGGCAGTCAGGCATTCTAGGACATGTATATTTTTTGTGGAAATAACTCAGATTGAGTAAGAGGGAACTTTATTACAAAACTATCTTGTTTTTGTTTTGTTTTGTTTTTTGTAAATTTCTTAAAATGTAATCCAAATGTAATTCAATATCTATTCTTTGTGGAAGAGATCAGTTGTTCATTGTTTTTATGAAAGAGAATAACAAGGTATTTTCATATTTGCTTTCATATTTTATTTCTCATGTAAAGAAAATCAATTAAATGTATAGTTTCTTCCTAAAGGTTACTCATATCCTAACATATAATATTAAATTTTTATTTTTTTAGATTGTTTTGAAATAATTGCTGAATATGTTTATTCATTGCTAGTGGCATCCTTATTTGGACAACAAAATCATAAAAATATTTATATCTTTTGACCAACAGTCAATTGTACTCCAGAAAAATTCCTTTGCATTCACCCCCCAGCCCTAAACCAAACAGGTAGTAGTAGTTCTCTCTGGTCAATAGGAATAAACATGTTCGAAACCAAGCTTCCTTTCCAGACCAGCTCCTCTTCCGTTGTTATCCATTTTTATTACCGTATTTGCCGGCGTATAAGACGATTTTTTGGCCCTGAAAAATATGCCTCCAAGTGGTGGGTCGTCTTATACGCCAGGTACACTTCAGATAGACTGCCCATAGTGCTTGCCCCGTGCCATAGTGGCCTCCCGNTGGAGGACGTCGCTTCACTGGCCCATGTTGGTATGATCATTGCGCTCTTCCTGGGTGAGGCAATCAGTTGCTGGTCATTGGTCGGCCACTCACGGAGGCTCACGGCAGCTCTCGCCCACTGCCGGCCGCTCACGCTGGTTGCAAGCCACTCAAGTAGCTCACGGCAGCCCGCTGCAGCCTACGCCGTCAACTCACAGTAGCCCAGCTCCAGATTGAGCTGTTGTTCACAATCTTAGCTGTAGAGGGCACAGCATCACTGGCCCTCAATGTGAGATCCCAACCGCGGCCCTGCTGCTCAGAGCTGGCGCTCCCAAGGGAGTTCTTAACCAGCTGAGCCTCGGCCGGCCCTGGACTCTCAGATTCTTGATACCCAGAGATTATTTACCTCTGATTCCCTACCAAGTTCCTGTCATAATCATGAATGCTGAACTCAGCCATGTGTCCCTCGTCTACTGGCCTCCACAGAGGTGGCATTCAACAAAGAGATCTACCCTCCCAGGCACAGGAAGACAGTGTATAAGTGCTTTGGAATCTGAAATACCCCAGGTGGAATCCCAACTTGATATTTAATAACCATAGTCATGAGCTGTGCAAGTTACTTAACTGCTTTGAAACCCAGTTTCCTCTTCTGATCATGTAAATCCCACCAGCCAGTGCTGGTGGGCACTTGGTATTTGTTCTCCTAAAGGGAAAGACACAAAGAAATATCAAAACTTAATATAAGGTTGAAGAGACATGTTATTACTAGGATGCATCTAGTTAATAAAAATGGAGCCCTCTTTATGGAAGAATATCTTTTGAATTAGAAAAGAATAAACTTAGAAAACCTAGATTGGAATTTCCCTCTGACCCGAGTCGTATGACCTTGTGAGTTACTTAACTTTTGTTAGAGTGACAGCTCTTATAACAGTGCATACTAACATATGCAATATCCAATGTTTCCCAAAGTTGTCTAATATTCAGTGGTCCTCAAACTTGCCTAATCCTAGGAATCACCAGGGTTACATGTAACATAGAGATTCTGGGGCCTTACCTCATACCTAGTGAATCTTCAGAGTTAGAGATCTGTATTTTTTTTTTATTTTTATTGGGGAATTTGGGGATGGGAACAGTGCTGGGGAATTGGGGGAAGGGGAACAGACAAGTTGCTGTCGTTTTGTTCTTCAGTCTAATTGTGGAGGATGTTGCTTCACTGGCCCAAGTTGGCACCATCATTGCACTCTTCCCGGGCGAGGCAGATCAGTCGCCGGCTTCTGGACGGCCGCTCAAAAGATCTGTATTTTTTAACAAGTAACTTACCTATTTCTAGGATCAAGTTTTAGAAACATTATTAATGAATTCACTATAAGATATTCTTGATTAAATGTAATGTGCTCTCAAAATGCAAAGTTGGTAATAATGGTTTCGGGTTTTATAAACTTGGGTTTATATTTTTGTTTATGTGGGATGGGAGTTTGTTTTATTTTCAGTAAGCAAACGACCTCTACAAGTTTATTATTTAATTGGTAAAATGTAAAAATGACAATGCTCAGAATAAAGAATATCTGAAGACAAAAACAAAAATAATGATGTAAAAACTATAAACCTAATCTGTCTTTACAATGGTATTTCCAATAAATATTTCCATATATATTCATTCCACCACTATCAATTATATTATAGTACATTGTGCTGAATTTCCTGAATGATGTTATAGTGAACTTTTTCCTCTGCTATTAGAATAGTATCACCTATTCTTTTTCTTTTTTTTTAAATTAAGCTATAATTGATATAAAACATTATATTAGTTTCCAGTGTACAACATAATGCATATTTGTATATATTGCGAAATGATCATCACAAGTCTAGTTAACATCGATCACTACACAGTTACAGAATTTTTTTTCTTCTGATAAGAACTTTTAAGGTCTACTCTTTTTAGCAACTTTCAAATACGCAGTACAGTATTATTAACTATAGTTGCTATGCTGTACATAATATCTTAAAGTCTTATTTATTTTATAGCTGGAAGTTTGTACCTTTGACTCCCTTTACTCATTTGGCCCACCCCCCACCTCTGGAAACCACCATTCTGTTCTCTATATCTATGAGCTTTTTTCTTAGATTCCACATACAAGTGAATTTGTCTTTTTCTGTCTGCCTTATTTCACTCAGCATAATGCCTTCATAGTTTACCCATGTTGTTGCAAATGGTAAGATTTATTTCTTTTTCATGGGTGAATAATATTATATTGTGTATCTATATCACATCTTCATAGATAGACACTTAAGTTGTTTCTATACCTTGGCTTTGTAAATAATGCTACAGTGAATGTGGGAGTACAGAGATCTTCTTAAGTTAGTGTTTTTGTTTTATTTCACCCAGAAGTGAAATTGCTGGATAATATGATAGTTCTATGTTCAATTTTTTGAGAATCCTCCATACTGTTTTCTGTAGTGGCTGCACTAATATACGTTCCTACCAACAGTACACAAGTGTTCCCTTTTCTCCACATCGTTGCCAACACTTATTTCTTATTTTTTGGATAGTAGGGTGAAGTGATATATCATTGTGGTTTTGACTTGCATTCCTCTGATGATTAGTAATGTTGAGCATCTTTTCATGTACCTGATGGCCATCTTCTTTGGAAAAATTTCTATTCAGATCTGCCCATTTTTAAATTGGATTGTTTGGTTTTTGCTATTGAGTTGTATGGGTTTTTTTAATATATTTTGGATATTAACTCCTTGTCAGGTATATGATTTGCAAATATTTCTCCCATTCTGTAGGTTGCCTTTTCATTTTATTGATGGTTTCTTTGGCTGTGCAAAAGCTTTTTGGTTAAATATAATCCCACTTACTTAGTTTTGCTTTTGTTGCCTTTGCTTTTGGTGTCAAATCCAAACACAAAGTGCCAAGACCAATGTCAAGGAGCTTATCACCTAGTCCACTTGAGGTTATTTTTGTATACTTTGTAAGGTAATGGTCGAGCTTCATTTTTTTTTTGCATGTGGCTGTCCAGTTTTCCCAGCACCGTTTATTGCAGAGACTGTCCTTTCTCCATTGTATACTCTTGGCTCCTTTGTTGTAAATTAACTGACCATATATGCATAGGTTTATTTCTGGGCTCTCTGTTCTCTTCCATTGGTCAACGTGTCTGTTTTTATGCCAGTATCATTGCTGTTTTGATTACTCTAGCTTTATAATATATTGGGTTTTCAGAAAAGTCATGACGCATTTTTGCAACAAAAAACCGAAAAAATACGTCATGACTTTTCTGACGACCCAATAGTTTGAAATTTGAGTGTGATGCTAAAAGGTTTGTCATTTTTATTTAACTTTTAAACAACAAGCTTGTAGGTTCAATGATTAGCCTAGCCTATTAATAGAAAGCATTTCCACTCAAAGCCAGTATTTTTATGAGGCTTACTTTATTAATTATCATAACTAAGAAGAATTTAGAAAGATACCCCTATTACTCCTGTAAGTTCTCTATCATTTAATATGTTTCTATTTTTTTATTAAAATGTGTTGGGGTGACAATGGTTAGT